TACTTGCATTTATTCCTATTTTCTCAGTCATATCTGTTGTTTCGACAAACATATCGTGTGAAATATTGTTACATGCTTTAGCCTTAGAGAAATTTATGTAATTATTAGTATCTGATATACAGTAACTAATGGATTTAAAACTTCGTTCTGTATGCCAGATCCAGGAATTACTCTATAAGAATAAGATTGTAAGTAAATTACATACAAATAATATTAATGAATAAACGCATAAAACCTATTTGAACTAAAAATATATCAAAAGTTAAGTTAAAACAAAAAAAAAATTATATTTACTTGATCGTCTCGTTTTCGATGAGAATGCGAATATCCTCCATCGGTGGTAGATATCGAAGATACAAACTATATTATCTGTTATACAAGCAATTGGAAAATGGTCCAGGTATAGCGCATGAAGAGGAAGAAGGGGCCGACGACCTAATTGAAATATATATTTTTTTATCTTTTATTTATTCTTAATATTCTTTCATATAATTTGCTTTTTGTAATTTGAATGTATTACAACTTTCATTTATATTACTGTAATCCGTAATACTCTATAAGAATAAGATTGTAAGTTAATTACATACAAATAATATTAATGAATAAACGCATAAAACCTATTTAACCTAAAAATATATCAAAAGTTAAGTTTAAAACTTTATTTAAAAAAAAATTATACTTACTTGATCGTCTCGTTTTCGATGAGATTGCGAATATCCTTAATCGGTAGCAGATATTCGGCACCGTTCAACAACAAATGAAATGGTTCTCTTATGCCAAATATCATAGTGATGTGTTGTTTGACATGAATAACATGTTGAAATTTTGTTAAATCAATAAAAATTCCACATATCCGACGCGCATCGTGATAAAACTTCAACAAGTCAACTTTCAGTCGGAAATGTGAGCGCGGCATTGTGATATCTTTGGGGTTACGAAGCTTCAAAACCGAAATGCATGATCGGCGAAACTAATTGTCAAACCTTCGTTGTCGCTCATACTCGACGTAATAAATTACTAACGTTGCGATCTCATTGCTCGTGTTCGACTCGAATTCACGTGCTATATATTAATTAAAAAAATCCTAATCAATCACTGATGTATATCCCACTGATGACGATGCACCGATGTTGCGTACTTAACCTATCATTTCTTCCCAATGTTGCGTATACGCAATACAAAGTTTATCTTCACAAAATGCAGTCAAAATGAACTTATTTCACAATTAGTCTAACACTTTGTGAAAAAAAAATTACTGATAATTAATTATATAAACTTCGTGTTGCGTATACGCAACATTGGGAAGAAATGGGTTATATATGTTTATGTATTATGTATGTATACTACTATTCAGCGCCCTGTACATCAGCGCGGCCCTCTCGATTACCCTGTACGGGGCGCCAATATGGGCGACTCAGCTGTGGGCGTCCAGAGATGGGATCGCCCGTATGCGGGCCGCCCTGAGGCCCCTGTACATAAGGGCGGTCAGAGGATTCTGGACGCTGTCATACATGGTGGCGACCACCTGGCCGGGTCTCCCCCCGTGGAGCTCACCGCTGAGGAGCGATCCATCCTTTATTGGAGGGTGAAGGGGCTTTGCGAGGCGGAGGAACTATCAGCCAGGACCCTGCGGGGCCTGAATTCCCAGGCCAGTGCCCGGACCCTGGAGATGTGGGGCGACATTCTGTCGGACCCACGGGGGTTCGGGCGCATAACTATCGAGGTTGTCCGTCCCTGCCTGCCAGAGATGGCGGGCAGGAGGGGACGTGGAATAGCCTTCCATCTGGTGCAGGTGTTGACGGGCCATAGGTGTTTTAGCAAGTACCTGTACAGGATCGGTAAGGAGCCTACTACCCGGTGCCACCATTGCCCCGTGCTAATGGACACAGTGCACCACACCTCTGGCCGCTTGTCCGGCCTGGGGAGTGGAGCGCCGTGTCCTGGCCGGGGCGGTGGGGTGTCGGCAGGATGAGATCTTGCTCCCGTCCAGGCCATGTGTGGGAGCGAGGGGGTATGGAAAGCGACGGTCTCCTTTTGCAAAGACATTCTGTCCCAAAAGGAGGCCGCCGAACGCGAGCGTCGACCGATAGCCCGTCGCAGGCGGCGACGTGGTGATCGGCGCTCCCCGGGGGGGGGTCTAGAAAGCGGGCCCGAGATGACACCGGCCGAGGAGGACGAAGGACCTTTGGATGACAGAGGGCCAAATCCTCCTCGGCCGCCTCGAGCCCGCCTCCGTCCGCGGGGGGGGGGGCGGGGATCCCGACCGGAGTAGGTCCTCTGAGGGACTCGCCTGAGGTGGATTCCCTGACTTCCCCCCTGCGCGTCGGATGGGTGGGGACAGGGAGGGAGTGGAGCACCCAGTTGGGGCTGGGCCCACTCCCCCAAAATCCTTCCCTTCCTAGCAGTGAGGGGAAGGCCAACCGGGGGGATAACCCGCCGGGACCGCGCCCTGGATTCCCTTTGCGGAACAGGGCGCAGTACACGGAGGCGTGAGGCTCCCGGAGAGCCCGAAGGGCCGCGAGGTTGGGGAGGGAATACGGGAGTGGTTCCCCTGACTCCCCTATCTTCGGCCCGACAGGTAGACATCCCGCAGGGGTTTTAGGCGGTAGGAGTTCGACATAACCCTCGGCCCGCCCAAGGGTCGAGGATATCCATGATGGATTTCCCCTGCGTGAGCAAAAAAAATACTACTATTCAGCGCTCGTAGCGCCCCTGGTGTCAGAAAAACGAGATGCACATATCTCCTCTCCTTGATGGTCTATCGTTTCTTTCTTTCTTACTTTCTTACTGAATTGTAATTTTCCATTATTCAGACTTTATCTGAAAATATCTTCACTTAGAGACAACGTACACAAAAAGCATAAGAACACTTCTATTTTTGAAGGCCGAATCGATTGGGACTAAAAAGCCTCAATCGGTTCAGCCATTGCTGATATATGAAAATTTCACCTCCTTTCAACTCGCAGTTTCGCGTATAATAGGCACGGTGTGCCTCTTGATAACTTGTTTTATTCGATAAAAATATCATTTGTATCAGTTAAATATGACAATCGATAGCATTTGTTAAAGACGTCAACTTTGTTAATATCTTGCGGTCTTACTATAACACATCATTCAATAAGTTCGTAGTAGGACATAAATGGCGCTACTATTGACAAATCTATATGATTTTTAGGAAGTACTTTTTTTTGGTCATGCAGGGGAAATCCTCATGGATACCCCCGCCCTTCCCAAAGGGTCGGGAATTATACCGGGCTCTTACCGGCTAAAACCCCTACGGTGTGCCTACAGTTCGAACCGTGATGGGGGGAGTCAGGGGAACTATGCCTGTATTCCCTCCCCGACACCCCGGCCCCAGGGCTCTCACGGAGCCCCACGCCCAAGTACCGCGCCCCTTCCTTTGGGAGTCATGGACGCGGTGCCCCGGCCGGTTACCCGACCGGGTTGGCCTTCCGGTTATGTATAGGATGGGGCCACACCCGCCCTTCACCTCGCCCCATCTTCCCCTCTACCCTACTGGGTTTGTAGTGGGAGGGGCAGAGGAGTGAGGCCTGGCCTCAACCTGTCCTTACTCCCACTTCCCTATCTCATCCGACGCGCCCAGTGGGTGAAGCCCTCATCCACTTCCCCTGCCCTGTCGGAGGCGGGCCCGAGGCGGCCGAGGAGGCGGCCTCCGGCGAACCGGTGGCCTCACCTCCTCCTTGGCCGGCGCCACCTCGGGCCCACCTCCCCCCGGGGAGCACCGCTTCCTCCACCACACTCTGCGGAAGTCGGCGCTCCCACTCGGCGGCCTCCTTCCGGGACATGACTTCGCGACAGAAGGAGGCTGCCGCTCTCCACACCTCCTCGCTCCCGTACATTGCAGTTAGCAAACGCGGGAGCGAGAGGGTTTCCCCTTGGCATCCCACTGCCCGGGCGAGGACACGGCACTGCTCGGCCCACGCCCGGCACTCAGCCAGGGTGTGCTCCACCGTGTCCTCCCTCACCGGGCAGTGGTGACACTCCGCAGTGCGCTCTCTCCCAATCCGGTGCAGGTACCGACCGAAGCAACCATGCCCGGTTAGCACCTGCACCATGTGGAAGGTTAGCCCGTGTCTCTTCCTACCCGCCATCTTTGGAAGGCAGGGGTGGACGGCTTCGGCCGTTCGAGGCTCGAATCTCCGGGGGTCGGCCAATATGGCCGACCACCTTTCCAGGACTCGGGCCTCGACCTGGGACTTCAGGACCTTCAAGTCCGCTGACCATTAAGTCCTCGCCCGTCGCGCGGAGCTCCTTCACCCTCCAATAGAGGATATGCCTCTGTTCGGCGAGGAGCTCCACGGGGGGGGAGGGAGCCGGCCATGGCCGTCGCCGCCCTGTACTAAACGGTGAGAATCGCCCCCCCCCCGAATCGCCCTCACAACCATCGAGCGCATTGCCTGACGCAGAAGCGCCTTGTTGTGTTCGGAGGCCATAAGCCGAGGCGCCCATATGGGCGCCCCGTAGAGGGCGATCGAGAGCATCACCCCAATGTAGAGGAGGCGAACGTGCCATCCAGGGCCCCCTAGGTCCTCATGAGGCCGTGCAACTCTAGGCCCGCACTTCGGACCCGTGGGGACAGGCCCTTGAAATGGGCCCCGAAGTTCCAACGGCCGTTCAGCGACAGGCCCAGATACTTTATCATGGGCCCGACGCGGACGCGGACAACATCTACCCGGATCTGAGTCTCCGTTGGCGCCCCTCGGTGGCTGCTATGAAAGTAGACGGCCTCCATTTTCCGAGGCGCCACCTTGAGTCCTAGATCCGTGATGGTGCCCACCATGGAGTACAATGCCGCCCCTGCTCGGAGGCGGGCTTCCCCCATCCCCTCCCCCCGACTACCACTTATGTGTCATCTGCATAGCATATGACGTGCAGCCAGGGGGAAGGAGAGAGCGCAGTATCCAGTCGAACGTGATGTCCCAGAGTAGTGGGCCGAGGACCGATCCCTGCGGGACATAACACTCCATGGCGCACCGACCCTAGACCTCGCCTCTCCCAGAGTAGGCGAGGTCCTTGTCCCCGAAGTAGGTCGACAGGATACGCCGGAGATAGGCGGACACCACGTGATACTCGAGGGACCGTCCAATCTCCGGCCAGGGCAGGGTGTTGAAGGCATTTGTGATGTCTAGCGACACCGCCAACATCTTACCCTCCTTCTCCACGACCACCCAGGTCAGGTCCCGGAGCCGCTGAATCGCATCCAGCGTGGATTTTCCGGGCCTGAACCCGTATTGGTGGTGGTGGATGTTCGGCCCCTCCAAGGACATATGCTGGACGAGGCGGTCGGCAATGATGCGCTCTAGCATCTTGCTCGCCTCATCCAGCAGGCATATCGGTCTAAAGGTCGGCGCACTACTGGGCATCTTGTTCTCCTTCGGGAGGACTAATTTGGCGCTCCTTCACTCCGGGGGGAATACCCCCTCCCTGAGGCACCCACTCAGCGTGTCCCGCATGGCTGCGGACAGTTTCCCATCGCTGAAGGCGAGAGCTCAGGCGCGGCCAGGAATGCCATCGGGGCCAGGCGCTTTGCCCTTGGCCCCGAGCCTCTTCCTGGCCATGGTGAACTCCTTCGGAGAGACCTCGAGGTCCTCTCCCCAGTCCCCTTCCCGCTGCTCGGGAACAGGGATTTGGGGGGGGGGTGCCGTTCCACTCTCGAAAAGAGTGTCCAGGAGCCCTACGAGGGTCTGGGAGTTCAAGGCCTCTGCCGGTGGGGGCGCCCACGGGCGTATCTTACCGATCGCCCGTTTATACGGGCGTCCCCACGGTTCATTGTCCAGGGAGTCCACCATCTGCTCTCAGGCTCTCTTCTTAACCTCGATGATGGCCGTCTTGAGGGCTGTCTTCGCTTCGAGGTAGCTCTCTTTCTCCATCGCGGCTTCCCCGCCCCGTCGCCGGGCCCGGAAATAATTCCTTCTGGCTCGGACGACGGCCTCCCGAAACTTGGAGAGCCGCCGTCCAGCAGTACGCGGCCCAGCGTTGGCGGAGGTGGGACCGCGGCATTGCAGCGTCGCAGATCGACGCCACGATGCGCACAATCTCCTTAGCCCACTCCAGAGGGCTAAGATCCCACGCACCTGGTACGTGCCAGGTGGCCACGAGGGCGGCCGTCCGGAACCTGTCCACGTCAAGTTGATTAGTGGACTTTTCCCCTCCCCAAGGTGGCGGTCCAGCACACGCGGAGAGTCGTGGAGACCGAGGGACCACACGATGTAGCGGTGGTCGGACAACGTCTCACTCTCGGTCTCCACCGACTACTCCCGGAACATCCGGGCGGCCGAAGGGGATTTTAAAGAAGTACTAACCTTCAAATGATACGTGCCAAAATTTCATGACAATCGGATGTTTAGTTCACAAGTTACAGTGGTTTTAGTGACGCACGACGTCGACACGTTTTAGCAACGCGTCGACAATTCAGCGGGCTGTTTGGAGCTGTTTCAGCGCAATAAAAAGGATTTTTTGATGCGGTATGTGACAATGGATGAAATATGGTTCCATCATTACACTCCAGAATCAAATCGGCAGGGAAAGCTCCAGAGAAAGAGATTTGGCTCCAATAAAGAAGTGATTGCCGAAACTGAAGCCTTACTAAAACGAGTCGACGTCGTGCGTCACTAAAACCACTGTAACTTGTGAACTAAACGTCCGATTGTCATGAAATTTTGACACGTATCATTTGAAGGTTAGTAATGTCTAAAAATCATATAGATTCGTCAATAGTAGCACTATTTATATGTCATCCTACGAACTTATTGAGTGATGTGTTATGTCTGAGAGGAAAATCATTTTACATTTCATCAGTTTGACATTAATATTATCAAAATACATGTATTTATTTAAATCCAGATACAGTCGAAAAATATATTTTTGACACTTTTCTGGAATTCTGGCCCACTGTAAGGCGGGGGCCTCCCTGGCCCTTAGCTTCTCCTGGAGCCGCCCGTTCTCCGCCCTTAACTCGCGGAGCTCCTCTCGAAGCTCCTCCATCTCCATTCTCTCTTCGTCCACTGCATCTCCGTCTAGAGATCCAACTCTGGCGATCAGGGTCGATAGAACTACCTCGGAGGTTACCACGGCACAGTTCAGCAGCGACACGAAGGTGCCGCAAAGTACTAGGTCCCTGGCCTGGTGCTTTTCCCTCCTTCTGGAGGAGGACCAGTTTAGCCCTCCATTCTGGGAGGGATACCCCCTCCTTGAGGCACCTGTTCGTGACCTCTCGCGTGGCCATGGATAGGTTTCTCTCGCCGAGGACGAGAGCCCGGGCGCGGCCAGGAATGTCGTCGGGGCCAGGAGCTTTCCCCTTGACCCCGAGTATTTTTCTGACCCTGGCAAACTTCTCTGGACTAACTTCCAGGTCTTCGTTGTAGTCGCTGTCCCGTAACTCGGGGACGGGTATCTAAGGGGACCCCCTTCCAAGAGGATGTCAAGGACCCCTCAAGTGGTCCAATGTCTCCATTGGCGGGAGCGCCCACGGATGGATCTTATCGACCGCCCGCTTGTAGAGGCGCCCCCAAGGATCCTCGTCCAGGGGGCTCACCAGTTGCTCCCAGGCTTCCTTCTTAGCCTCGGCGATGGCGGCCTTGAGGGCTCCCTTCCCTTGGAGGTAGCTCTCTTTTGCCCTCAAAGCATCTCCGTCTCGACGCCTGGCCTGGAGGCCTGCCTAAGTTCGGCAATGGCCTCTGTCCACCAGTAAGCAGCCCGGCACCGACGGGGGTGGGACTAGGGCATCGCGGTGTCGCACGACGACACCTCGAAGCCCACTATCTCCCTAGCCCTCTTCTGGGAACTGGGGTCCCACTCATTTGGTCCCTCATCTAGTTGCTAGGTGGCCGAGAGGACGGCCGCTTGAAACCTGTCCGCATCAAGCCGACCGAGGGCTTATCTTTTTGGGAGGGGAAAGTCTCTCCTGGGCGGCGGTCCAGCACTCGCTGAGGGTAAGGAGACAGAGGGTCCACGCTATGTATCTGTGATCAGATAGCGTTTCGTCCTCCGTCTCCACCATCCACTCCCGAAAGATCAGAGCGGCCGAAAGAGGAGCCCAAGTCAAATATATGATGGACTCCCCCTTCAGCAGCACGCAGGTGCTGGTCACCCCCCAGTTCATTAGTAGGAGACCGAGTTCCGCCGCCCAATCTACCACGCCCCCGCCCCGAGGATCCCACTGCCGGGGACTGCATCCCCACTCCACGGAGTGGACGTTGAAGTCCCCGGCCGCCACGATGGGCCGGGGATGGCATTGACGCACCACGTCCCCGACCCTGTCGAGGATCCTCTTTATACAGGCGAGTCTGCCGAGGCCGACCTTGTTCCTGCGGTGAGGGAGATACACTCCCACCACAGTGATCGGCCCCCAGTCGATAGCCACATACGAGGTCCCCCTCTTCCTGAGCTTGCAGTGGGAGACACCGTCTCGGGATGTGCCACCACGGCCACCGAGCCTTTCGGGCTACCGAACCAGCACGGATTGCTGATCGGCACCCAGTGCGGCTCGGTGGCCACCCCCAGCCCGGCGCCCAGCTCCATGATCCTCTGAACCCAGAGGTCCTGGGCCCGGGCGCCGCGGTCAAAGTTGACCTGTAGGGCCCGGAGTGGCATGAAAGCTAGAACCTCTATGCCTCCTCCGGGTGGCCTACATCCATTCCCTACGGAGGAGACATCTTGCGGCGATCACGCCGCCTCAGTCTCCCCGGAGAGGGTTTCGGCTATGGCGGCTTCGATCTCAGGTGCCTCCGCAGAGGTGCAGGGGGCCCCTACTTCGACGATCCCCACTCGGGGGGTATGAGAGGGGTCGTCCGTTGTGGGAGTCGGGGGTGGCGCGCTCACCGTTTCCCCTTTATTCTCTAGGGTTGTTGGGGTTTGAGCGCTAGGCTCCACCCTCCTCACCTTATCCGGCGTTTCCTCTGGGGGAGACATCACCCACCTCTCCCTCATCCTGATCCCTTGCTAAGGGAGCGTCGGCCACCGCTCCCCTTTTCCTTCTTTGGGGCAACGGCTCCTCTCGGGCGTCCCTGGTGTCCTTTACCTCCATTTGTTCGGGATCCCTCGCTGTGGAGGAGACCGGCCTGGTTTCCCCCCAGCTCCACGCAGGTTCTTTGCCTCTATGCAGATACTAGCCGGGCATGGGTGCTACGGTCGGTACCTGCACCGAATCGGAAGGGAACCCACTGAAGGATGTCACCACTGCCCGGCGCGAGAGGATATGGTGCAGCACACCCTGGCAGAATGCCAGGCGTGGGAAGAGCAGCGCCGTATACTCGCCCGGGCAGTGGGGTGCCAGGGGGAAGCTCTCTCGTTCCCGCACTTGCTAAAGGCAATGTGCGAGAGTGAGGACGTATGGGGAGCGGCGGCCTCCTTTTGCCGGGACGTCATGTCCCGCAAGGAGGCCGCCGAGTGGGAGCGCCGCCCACCCCGTCGCAGGGAGCGACGGAGAAGGCGGCGGTCCCCAGGGCCAGGGAGCGGGCCCGAGATGGCGCCGGCCCAGGGCCGGTCTCCGATATCTAGGAGGCGTCCTCTATCGCCTCGGGCCCACCTTCGACGAGACGGTGGGGGTGGGTGAGGAGTAAATCCTCTCACCCACTGCGTTCGTTAATGATAGAAGAGTGAAGGGGAGTGAGGCTTGGTTGGGGCCAGGCCTCACTCCCCTGTCCCCTGCCCTCCCAGTAGGGAAGGGGGTAGCCAGGGGCAAGGAGGGGGGCGGGTGTCCCCTCCCTCCTTAATTTAGACCGGAAGGCCAACCCGGCCGGGTAACCGACCGGGGCACCGCGACCTTAACTCTCTTTGTGGGGAAGGGCGCGGTACTTGGGCATGGGGCTCCATGAGAGCCCTGGGGCGGGGGTGACGGGGAGGGAATACAGGCGTAGTTCCTCTGACTCCCCCCACTTCGGTCCGAGCGGTAGGCACCCCGGTGGGGTTTTAGCCGGTAGGAGTCCGGCATAACCCCCTTCCTCCCCAAGGGGCAGGGATATCCATGATGGATTTCCCCATCGTTACAAAAAGAGGTTCTCCGCCTCTCTTCTTCCCTCTCCTCTTTTTTCTCCCAGGGGATCTGCAGGCAGGGCCTCATGACCTGCTTCGGCGCAACGGCACAGTGTGCAGCCGCCTCCTTGCACTATTTGTCGCAGTGGTCGGGATTACCGCAGCGGTAAGAAAGACCGCTGCAATCGATGGCGCTATCGCATCGCTCGCGCACGTAGCCCCGCTCCAAGCAGCGGAAACGCACTATTGCGCGAGCGGGTAGCGCCGTCATTCCGGCGCAGGTCCACCCCACCAGAACCCTTTGCCCCAAGCGACCTTTGCGGCCGCCGCCAACAGACACCGTACCACCACAGCTGCTGTCCCTCGCTGGGAAAGGTTGAGTTCGCTCACG